ATTTGTTTTCGAGATGACAAGCGAATCCGATGACACAGGTCACCTCGGCGTGGAAAGGCGTAGTGGCATCATCAACCGAGGAAGAGGAGATGAGTGAGATGAGGAAGCTGTCGGCAGGCGCAACACCCGGGGAGTGTCGCCAACGAACTCGGGAGGACTATCGAGGCCATTACGAATCGTTTTCGAAGATGAAGGAATCAGCGTGGAGAGGTGCCTCGGATCTGAAAATTAGCAAACGCTGTACCGAACTTTAAGAAGGGAGGTGAGAGCGATCCCGGGAAACTAAAAGCTGGTGGGTCTCACCCGCATTCCAGAAGAGATCATGGAAAGCATTCCGAGAGATGTTGGAATTCCTCGAGGCGCACTCGCTCACCCGGGAACTCATCACGGTTGCAAGGAGGCGACGAAATCGCCTTTCCGACTTGCTCGAAGTCTACGATCGAGTGATGATGGACAAGATTAATAAAAGGAATATTTTCGGCATCGACTACTTACATTTCACGAAAGCTTTCGATACCGCTCCTCTGAAGAGGATGCGATCAAAATCGGAGACGCAAGGGATTCAGGTAGGGAGAGTAACTGGTTGGAAGAAAGAGAGCTGGAGTCGCTTCTACTCATGGTTTGCATGAACGATTTGGACCAAGGCTCACGAGTCGAGTCAGCAAACTTGCCAATAGCATCAAATGAGGTTTCTCTTTAATTGGGAAGGGGGAAAGAGCGAGAGCCTGAAGAGGTTTATTGCTCTTCGACGAGTGGGGTAAAAACTGGCTCGTGAATTTTTGCTGTAAAAAAAAAGTAAGATTCTTGGCATCCGTCATTACAACAATACGTCTTTGAATGCGTTCGACAAGGATAACTGGAGGAGTCGAAAGGAGAGAATGAAGCTGAGATCACTTCAGAAGAAGAACTCAACATTTTCTTGCTCGCGCAGGCGACGGTAGTTGAATTTGATTGAAGATTTGATGCTTCATCTGGCATTCCATTGCCAATAAGAGGTCGTGCGCTCTTTCATTGAATGCAGCACTGGCAAGACCTCATTCAGAGTATTGTGTTCAGTTTTGGAGGAATACAAACAAAAGTGAATTAACGATGCTAGAAAGGGTTCAGAGGTGGACAACGAGTATGATAAAGGAGGTCCCTGCCCTTCTATGGCTAGCTTTAAGAAGAGAGTTTAGATGCCTTCATGGGCAAAAAAAAAAAGAGAAGAGAAATAGAAGGGAACCATGTAGCTGTAACAAGGCAGTAGGTGGATATGTTCCCTGTCGATCTTTATAAGAAGTAGGACTATCGTCCATCCATCCATATACAAGAGGCTAATCTGTCCTTGTGTGTGTCATTCTGGGAAACTCCTCCGAGACGGACAAACTCACTTTCATGAGGGAGGTGTCAGTCGAAAGCTTATGACCTGTAGGTGATGCTTATCGAGTCAAAAAGCTCAAAAAGTCTTACTATTTTTACATAAAAGGGCCAAATTTCAGCGATAGGAATAACATTGCACAGAATACCTTCCTGGGCAAGTGTTCACAACCAACAATGAGGGCACGAGGCATTATCAGTTTGTTGCTGTGGCGACTGCTGGCAATGATCATATTTCATAGTTTTGTCGTGTTACCTATCCCGTCGCCGGTTTATCACAGTGCTTCACGTAAGTCTGCAGCAGACAGTGCTCTATATTGCTATTTTGAATTTTGATGTTGCTCTCAAAACGCCACGAAAAAGGCGGAGAAGTTTAAACTATTCTGCAGGACGATCTACTGAACGTAAGAGAAAGAGAGTGACGTTCTGGGGTCACATTCAGCGATGAAGGGACAGAACGGCGTGTACGAAAAGCTCCTTCTTGAACTACTTCCATGGTCAATGAAACTGACGTAGGGAGAACAGAAAGACGTGCGCGAAATGCCTTCATTCGACTTATTTCACCCCTTGCGTGTACGGGCTTTTACACTAGGATTCTATATGACGGTTCGACCTTGACACTGGGGGTCACAACGGGCCTCCTCAAGGTTCTGATAAGGATGCCACGGGGCATCCGTATCCGAGCCTTGAACCTTGAACTGTTAGCCGGCTTGCCCTGTCAATACCCTGGCTGTTCAGAATCGTTCTGAAACTTACGATGGAGAGCTGGATATCCTGGATGCATTAAAGTGTGAATCCGGCGGAGTACTTCCCCCAAGGTTGAGGCATTTCATTTATGCAGTCATGGAAGGTTTTTGCTTTTTGCATTCCAGAATTGTGACTTAGGTGGCACCATGTGTTTGGACCTACGTTTATCCAATATCCAACAACAAATTATATGCTATTGCAACCTGAGACAATGGTACCTAATATCGACAACTTTTTGGTAAATCAATATTGACTCAATATTGATCCCGGTCATGGTCGAATATGGGAACTTCCTTCACTCTACATCGGCCCAATGTTGACGAGCTGCCAGGGTGGCAATCTATATCGAACCTTTGAGTCGATAACTATGTTAGATTGGAACGGGAAATGCGTGAATGTGAAAGACAAGTCAATCCCAAGGCCTTGTGCTCCCACGAATTCTTAGGCAAAATAATTTATTTCAAAGATCGATCGATCGCTTGGAAGAACATATCAACTCAGTAAAAGCCTATCCCAATCCCATGAATCCTTAGTCCTGAGTTTTTGCGATAATCCTTTATATTCGAGTGCAAGGCTATAATTTGTGGGCGGAAGGGCCCCTGTTAGAGACGCCAACTGCCGTAACTGATTGGGGACCAGAACTCCTACCGATTCCCCTCGGCTTAGGTATAATTGTTTAATAACGTTTTCCTCATTCCAGCTACTCCCACGGCATTGTCAATGTCAGCTAGGAGAAGACTTTCTCTGAACACTTGCAGAGTGAAGATGCCGATGGGTGAATATGCTCGTCTCTCCTTGAAAGTAATTAGAAAAAAATCCGACTTCGGGGATCGGTCAAGCTTTAGTTTCTAAGGAGAGTTAGATTGACAGAAAAAGCAAAAAAAGATCTAGTTGTTGCTGCATGTCCGAGACTGCGAAGATAATGGAGAAGGGATGAAGTAACATATTTGCCATCTGGGATACATATAATCTTACATCTTTGCATCTTGTCTAGATGATCTTCTTGAGCTGTCTGTTTCAGAAAATTGCTTGAAAATGGAACGGTCGCATTGTTTCGTGTTCTACGATACTTCAGGGTGATTAGGGTGGTCAGGAAACGCAAACATTCATTAGCGATGCCCATACCATCCAACAAAAATTATTCCGACTCTGCAAATCTAGTTCAACATGTGCGTGTTCACGTGACATCACATGGTATGCTTACAGTGTCCCCCTTGGACATCTAGACATAGCTGCATATTTCACATATTTCCAGCCACGCGTTCCAATATGTCAATGGGAATCCCGCCCACGATCTCTGTGATGTTCTTCAATCCTTCAATTCTTGAACTTAATGAGGATTGTTTTTGCAGACTCGCTCCTTCACATATCCCCATAAGAAATAATCGGGTGAGGTAAGATCTGCGGACCTGGGCGGCCAAAGTCCCTTTGAGATCGCCTGTTCCTTGAACACAACTCGAACATGTCGCATGCTCTCCTTGGATGTGTGAGCTGTGGCCCCATCTTGCTGGAAAAATCCTTCCTTACGTATCCTCGTCTAAGTTCTAAGCAAAATTCTGGCTTGACACTTGTGCACTGAGAACACATCCTCCTACACATATTGTATAGATGTTGTACTATAATTGGGCAATGTGGGAAGGGTTCATCATGTATAGTATGGACAAAACCTGTAATTGTTTGGATTTCCTGACTTTACGATCACCCTGTAGTAATAGCAAGTGTATAAGTTTACATGACATACTGCACTTAATATACTCCATACTGCTGCAAATGGTCGTATATCTTGCCACTTTGGCAGAGAGTTGCGTCCATTTGTTTGTGACAGCATTACGCGCTCATTCTATNCCTGAGACAATGGTACCTAATATCGACAACTTTTTGGTAAATCAATATTGACTCAATATTGATCCCGGTCATGGTCGAATATGGGAACTTCCTTCACTCTACATCGGCCCAATGTTGACGAGCTGCCAGGGTGGCAATCTATATCGAACCTTTGAGTCGATAACTATGTTAGATTGGAACGGGAAATGCGTGAATGTGAAAGACAAGTCAATCCCAAGGCCTTGTGCTCCCACGAATTCTTAGGCAAAATAATTTATTTCAAAGATCGATCGATCGCTTGGAAGAACATATCAACTCAGTAAAAGCCTATCCCAATCCCATGAATCCTTAGTCCTGAGTTTTTGCGATAATCCTTTATATTCGAGTGCAAGGCTATAATTTGTGGGCGGAAGGGCCCCTGTTAGAGACGCCAACTGCCGTAACTGATTGGGGACCAGAACTCCTACCGATTCCCCTCGGCTTAGGTATAATTGTTTAATAACGTTTTCCTCATTCCAGCTACTCCCACGGCATTGTCAATGTCAGCTAGGAGAAGACTTTCTCTTGGATGTGTGAGCTGTGGCCCCATCTTGCTGGAAAAATCCTTCCTTACGTATCCTCGTCTAAGTTCTAAGCAAAATTCTGGCTTGACGCTTGTGCACTGAGAACACATCCTCCTACACATATTGTATAGATGTTGAACTATAATTGTGCAATGTGGGAAGGGTTCATCATGTATAGTATGGACAAAACCTGTAATTGTTTGGGTTTCCTGACTTTACGATCACCCTGTAGTAATAGCAAGTGTATAAGTTTACATGACATACTGCACTTAATATACTCCATACTGCTGCAAATGGTCGTATATCTTGCCACTTTGGCGAAGAGTTGCGTCCATTTGTTTGTGACAGCATTACGCGCTCATTCTATCTATGAGTCTATGAGAACGCAAATCACTATACTTTTGCAGGACCCTCATCCCATAGTAGAAAACGAAGTCCATGTCGTCTTCTCTTTCTTTTTTCATTTTCTAAAGACATTTGACGACGGCCAAGGAATGAAAGTGCAGGAGATGTGCGAAACATTGCTCCAAACTTTATTGTATCAAGATGGAATGACCGGAGAAGATGGATTTTCCCGAAATGACATTGAGCAGGATAGGAGTGGCAGTTTTCGATGAGATCCGGGCGGGAAAGGACGGTCTGGGTCTCATCAAGTTCAGTAGACGTAGGGGTAGCCTCCATAGTAGGAAGCCCTGGCGTATGGGTAGAAAGAACTTCCATATCCGTAGTTTCTGTAGAAGGGAGAGTGAGCCACGTAGGGAGTGTGAGCCACGTAGGGAGTGTGAGCAACGTAGCTACGGTATCCATAGGACGGGTAGAATGGGTCTTCGAGGGAGGAATACCGGAAGCCATGAGCGTAGGGGGCGTAGGGGTAGGCATAAGGGGATCCATAGGACACGGTCCTAAGAGAATAAAATGAGGATGGACTCATGAATAATGGCACCGACAGCCCTTCGAAGAATCTCAGATGTTACGAGTGAATTCGTGCTTGATTTGAAATTTAAGAGATGAAGACGGAACTGACTTGGTCACTAGGGCAGACTCTTCTGGCTGCAGGTCTTCAGCCTTTGCATCTTGAGCAACTTCTTCGGCGTAAGCCAAAGCGAAGAACATGACAAGAACCTAATGAAAGAAAGCAAGACAAAAAACTTTGAGCATAAATTTCATTTGGAAATTGAAAATGCATAAAAACATTATCTGCATCCTGAGAATTCGCTGAAACATAAATATTTGAATTTCTCCAAGGGTTGCTAATGGATAAAAAAGTTTTTTTTCCCGAATAATCGAGGAAATCTTAATCGATTAATCGATCTTTTGATCAACTTTTGCTTAGTTCATAGTTTCCTCCATAAACCTGGCTGATAATCTCTCACCACGAATATAATGAAAGAATAACGTCCATTTAATTCCATCTAATCACCTTTAATTTAAAACCACCTAATCGAAGTTCTTTCTCAGTTTTCTCACTCACTACCCAACTGAAATTCAATTGAACTCGAGTTTTTTTTCACTGCATCGACAATTCTAATCTGCTAATTGGATCATAGCCTGATCTAATCGACAACACCAAGTTTGTTTTGTCCTAATGAAACCACAATAGAATGAGAAACATGTCCATCAATATCGCAATACATCTTTCGTCATGTTAGTCTTTAGTTCTTGTCCTCCGACGAATTAACAAGTTAACTTAGCAGAAACAGAAACGCTGATCTTAGCGAAACTGATTGAGAGCCGGTACTCACCAGAGCCTTGAACATTTTGGGAGGTTTCGTTTCCGCTGAACGAAGGAACTTCGCAGAATGATCTCCAAGAGGACTTTCGTGGTTCGAGAGGATAGGGATGGCGCTTTTATAGCGAACGNCGTAACTGATTGGGGACCAGAACTCCTACCGATTCCCCTCGGCTTAGGTATAATTGTTTAATAACGTTTTCCTCATTCCAGCTACTCCCACGGCATTGTCAATGTCAGCTAGGAGAAGACTTTCTCTGAACACTTGCAGAGTGAAGATGCCGATGGGTGAATATGCTCGTCTCTCCTTGAAAGTAATTAGAAAAAAATCCGACTTCGGGGATCGGTCAAGCTTTAGTTTCTAAGGAGAGTTAGATTGACAGAAAAAGCAAAAAAAGATCTAGTTGTTGCTGCATGTCCGAGACTGCGAAGATAATGGAGAAGGGATGAAGTAACATATTTGCCATCTGGGATACATATAATCTTACATCTTTGCATCTTGTCTAGATGATCTTCTTGAGCTGTCTGTTTCAGAAAATTGCTTGAAAATGGAACGGTCGCATTGTTTCGTGTTCTACGATACTTCAGGGTGATTAGGGTGGTCAGGAAACGCAAACATTCATTAGCGATGCCCATACCATCCAACAAAAATTATTCCGACTCTGCAAATCTAGTTCAACATGTGCGTGTTCACGTGACATCACATGGTATGCTTACAGTGTCCCCCTTGGACATCTAGACATAGCTGCATATTTCACATATTTCCAGCCACGCGTTCCAATATGTCAATGGGAATCCCGCCCACGATCTCTGTGATGTTCTTCAATCCTTCAATTCTTGAACTTAATGAGGATTGTTTTTGCAGACTCGCTCCTTCACATATCCCCATAAGAAATAATCGGGTGAGGTAAGATCTGCGGACCTGGGCGGCCAAAGTCCCTTTGAGATCGCCTGTTCCTTGAACACAACTCGAACATGTCGCATGCTCTCCTTGGATGTGTGAGCTGTGGCCCCATCTTGCTGGAAAAATCCTTCCTTACGTATCCTCGTCTAAGTTCTAAGCAAAATTCTGGCTTGACACTTGTGCACTGAGAACACATCCTCCTACACATATTGTATAGATGTTGTACTATAATTGGGCAATGTGGGAAGGGTTCATCATGTATAGTATGGACAAAACCTGTAATTGTTTGGATTTCCTGACTTTACGATCACCCTGTAGTAATAGCAAGTGTATAAGTTTACATGACATACTGCACTTAATATACTCCATACTGCTGCAAATGGTCGTATATCTTGCCACTTTGGCAGAGAGTTGCGTCCATTTGTTTGTGACAGCATTACGCGCTCATTCTATGAGTCTATGAGAACGCAAATCACTATACTTTTGCAGGACCCTCATCCCATAGTAGAAAACGAAGTCCATGTCGTCTTCTCTTTCTTTTTTCTTATTTAATAATAAGTAATAATAATATTTGACGACGGCCAAGGAATGAAAGTGCAGGAGATGTGCGAAACATTGCTCCAAACTTTATTGCATCAAGATGGAATGACCGGAGAAGATGGATTTTCCCGAAATGACATTGAGCAGGATAGGAGTGGCAGTTTTCGATGAGATCCGGACGGGAAAGGACGGTCTGGGTCTCATCAAGTTCAGTAGACGTAGGGGTAGCCTCCATAGTAGCCTCCATAGGCAGCCCTGGCGTACGGGTAGAAAGGACTTCCATATCCGTAGCTTCTGTAGAAGGGAGTGTGGGCAACGTAGGGAGTGTGGGCAACGTAGCTACGGTATCCATAGGACGGGTAGAATGGGTCTTCGAGGGAGGAATACCGGAAGCCATGAGCGTAGGGGGCGTAGGGGTAGGCATAAGGGGCTCCATAGGACACGGTCCTAAGAGAATAAAATGAGGATGGACTCATGAATAATGGCACCGAAAGCCCTTCGAAGAAACTCAGATGTTACGAATGAATTCATGCTTGATTTGAAATTTAAGAGATGAAGACAGAACTGACTTGGTCACAAGGGCAGACTCTTCTGGCTGCAGGTCTTCAGCCTTTGCATCTTGAGCAACTTCTTCGGCGTAAGCCAAAGCGAAGAACATGACAAGAACCTAATGAAAGAAAGCAAGACAAAAACTTTGAGCATAAATTTCATTTGGAAATTGAAAATGCATAAAAACAGTATCTGCATCCTGAGAATTCGCTGAAACATAAATATTTGAATTTCTCCAAGAATTGCTAATGGATAAAAAAAAAGTTTTTTTTTCCGAATAATCGAGGAAATCTTAATCGATTAATGAATCTTTTGATCAACTTTTGCTTAGTTCATAGTTTCCTCCATAAACCTGGCTGATAATAATCTCTCACCACGAATATAATGAAAGAATAACGTCCATTTAATTCCACCTAATCGAAGTTCTTGCTCAGTTTTCTCACTCACTACCCAACTGAAATTCAATTGAACTCGAGTTTTTTTCACTGCATCGACGACTCTAATCTGCTAATTGGATCATAGCCTGATCAAATCGACAACACCAAGTTTGTTTTGTCCTAATGAAACCACAATAGAATGAGAAACATGTCCATCAATATCGCAATACATCTTTCGTCATGTTAGTCTTTAGTTCTTGTCCTCCGACGAATTAACAAGTTAACTTAGCAGAAACAGAAACGCTGATCTTAGCGAAACTGATTGAGAGCCGGTACTCACCAGAGCCTTGAACATTTTGGGAGGTTTCGTTTCCGCTGAACGAAGGAACTTCGCAGAATGATCTCCAAGAGGACTTTCGTGGTTCGAGAGGATCGGGATGGCGCTTTTATAGCGAACGGTCTCCTTCGTCCTTGGAGGAGGCAAACTTTCAGGGTCAGGCTCCCGAACTTTGATTAGATGTTTGAAGCGTTGAGGAGGAGGAGAAATGGAAACAAAAAAAAGAAGCGTTCCCTGCGGGCCTCCACGGGTCGTTATCTCCTCCCCTGCCCTTTGGGTTTTCAATGAGGGACTCCACCCTTCCTGAGATCGTCGAGTCATGCGTGGACAACACGCTCTCATCTTCATACCTCTGACATTTCACGATCCCGTAAGGACTCAACTTTTGCACGTGTACTTCCTCATTGATTATTACGGGACGTCCTGGATCAATATGGCAAAAAAAAATTCCTGGGTATTAAATCAAGCAATAACAAGGATGACGTCATTTGATTGCCTCGAACTCATTCTATCCGCTACACTTCCAGTCCTCGTCTCATGTTTCAATAGAGCGGCGAATCCATGGAGAGGGACAGATGACAAAATGTGTCATCATGGAATTTAGAGAGATTCCTCATCTTCTTCGGAAAAACTGGAATCCTCAAACGCTTCGACTTTTATGGAAAGCATAATACCACTTGAAAGTCCCATTTTGGCCACTTCTCTCTGCTTTAGTCACTATTGAGACCGATTTGTCCTCAAATTTGTCTGAAATTAGAGTGAATTTTTGACTAGACTGTGTGCTACACAAAAGCATGTCGTCATGACAACTTCACAAAATCATTTCATCCCGAAGCCAGTCACGATCTGTCATTGGGGCAAAGTCTCTGCAATTGAAAAAAACCTCTCCGTATGTACCAACGGTTGCCCCGTTCTAGAACTGTTCAAGAACTGTTGCACTGTTCATGATAATGCCATGACAGGCCAGTCATTCTATAAAGACTCAGAGACACCTTCAGTAGTGTTCTAGGAATCCCTCTCGCATGACAAAATAGTGACTTTTGTTGCCACGCAGACTGGAGTTGATACAGATACATGCCGGAAGAAAAATCGTCACATGTAACCTACATGCAAGTTCAACGCTTTTACCCTTTTCCATTCCTTATTCCTCTTCACCCAGTCCTACTGGAATTTTCGTTTGACCAGACTGCCTCCGTCATTTCCTCTTTGGATCTTTAATAAATTTCTAACATCTCACTCTGTCCGGTCTCAAATTCTTCATTTGAATGATACCACAATTTAAAATCTTCAATGTTCTGCCAGAAGATCCTGAATCTCCGTATTCCTCTGTTCAATATGACGGATGCACGTGAATTCGTATCGTCAGCCCCCCCCCCCCCCCCCGAGAGCCGCTGTTTTCAACTCTCGTAATCACGACGATTATTTCGTTTTAGAACTAAAATGTTTTTGTTGATATGTGATACCTATTGTCACACATTTGCATAATGCCCATTTGAAAGCCACAAAATCACAAGAGATGGCAAGAGAGCGGTGGGGACTCTGGACATAGTGAGCGAAAATTAAAGTTCTAATACGATTTCGCTAGTTTACTTCAACGATGGAGAATCCCAATCAAGACCATTTCATCGATCTATTTAATTTTCTCCTCTCTCCTGACTGTTATTTCTCTCAATTTTCCCGAAATTAAAAAAAGAAAAAAAAAACTTATGGGAGCATAAATTTGATTAACTGCGGCACGATCTCTATCGCCGTTACACTTCAATGCCCTCATCCAGGATGTAGGAGTAAACACTTTATTTCATTACCGTAGAAATGTCTTTTCTGCAGGTGTCTCTCCACCTTTTGTGAGTCCATGACAATGCAGGCGAGGAGATCCAGGATCTAGAGTATTATTCGCGATTAGTCGCGGCACGGTCACCTTGAGCGCGGTCCATCGTGGAATAAATCCGGCTTTTTTCGTGATGGAAAAAGGAGGAGGAAGAAGGGAGGGGCGGTTTCACGGAGGAGTCTTTCGGCCTTGGCAATGCAAAGACCGTCCTTGGCCTTCCCTTTCGGAACTCTCCCAAGGTTGATATCTCCGGGGCAAGCAGGAGTGAAAGAACGTTGATATCCTCTGCTTTGCTCCGGGCCAATCCGGTACCATGGCATTAATACCCACACAAAGAGTCATCGTGGCATGAAGACGCGGAGACCGCAATAAGTATTAAGCCGTGCCGCGGACTGTGGAATTCACTCCGTTTTATCCTTTCTCAACTTCATTCATTCTCACAAAGCGAATCGTCACGGATTTCCTTATGCAGTTATTCCCGCATGAAATGAGCAGTTTGCAATTTTCGCTGCATTCTTTCTCTAAACTTGGGATCCAAACCACCCTCGAATAAAGTCTTTGAACAAAAACTGTGGA